ATTCACTTTTTAATCTTTATCGAATCTGTTACTGTCACATTCTTGAAATTAGGAAATGTTTCTTGTTCTGACATTGCCAGTATTTTCAATATCTTTTTTGATTTCCCTCTAAGCGCCACAATTTTTCAATATTGTGTTCCTGTTACCCTTACAAGATTCGGTTTCTCCTTTTCGATTACAAATTTCTTTCGGCCAATGATAAACTTTATATTTTAATTTAAAAAATAAATCATACGAAAGAGAACTCCAAACCTTATGACCTTTCATTTCTGCTTGTAAGACTGGTTTCAATTATTCGGCATCAGATACAGTTTATTATCTATCTAGCTATCTATCTATGTGTGTAAAGTTGATTGTTTATCTATCTTTCTGTGTGCAGGGTTGATTATTAATCTTTTTATCTATTTGTGTGTCGAGTTGATTATCTATCTACCTATCTTTGTGTAGGGTTATCTATCTTCCTATCAGTGTGTAGGGTTGATTATCTATCTATCTATCTATCTATCTATCTATCTATCTATCTCTGTGTAGGGTGGATTATCTATCTTCCTATCAGTGTGTAGGGTTGATTATCTATCTATCTATCTGTGTGTAGGGTTGATTATCTATCTACCTATCTCTGTGTAGGGTTGATTATCTATCTTCTTATCAGTGTGTAGGGTTGATTATCTATCTATCTATCTATCTATCTATCTGTGTAGGGTGGATTATCTATCTTCCTATCAGTGTGTAGGGTTGATTATCTATCTATCTATCTATCTATCTATCTATCTATCTTGGTTGTCTATGTACCTATCTGGTGGATTATCTATCTTCCCTATCTGTGTGTAGGGTTGATTATCTATCTATCGATCAATCGATCTACGGTTGATTATCTATCTACCTCTCTGTGTAGGGTTGATTATCTATCTTCTTATCAGTGTGTAGGGTTGATTATCTATCTATCTATCTATCTATCTATCTATCTATCTGTATGATTGGTTGTCTATCTACCTATCTGTGTGTCGGGTTGATTATCTATCCTGTCTGTATCTACGGTTGATTATCTATCTATCTTAGTGTAGGGTTGATTATCTATCTATCTTAGTGTAGGGTTGATTATCTATCTATCGATCGATCGATCTACGGTTGATTATCTATCTATCTTAGTGTAGGGTTGATTATCTATCTATCTTAGTGTAGGGTTGATTATCTATCTATCGATCGATCGATCTACGGTTGATTATCTATCTATCTTAGTGTATTGATATATTTTTTAGTGTAATATATTACATATAAACATGAGCCCCGGATTTTAAATATGCACAAACGTATCGATCAGAGATGGACGGACAGATAGATCTATCTTAAGTGTAGAAACGATTATCTATCTATCTTAGTGTAGGTTGTTTCTATCTATCGATTCGATCTATTGACTATCTATCTTAGTGTGATATTATCTATCTATCTTGGTGTGGGGTTTTATCTTTTCTATCGATCTTGCAGCTATAGAACCCAGCCTGTCCCATCTTCATCTATTTAGGATAGAGTTGGATTCATACTATTTCAAAGGTATCTTAGTGTAAGGGTTGAATCTATCCTCGACTACGGTTGAATTATCGAACTTGGGGTTTGATTATCTATCTTCTTGATTAGGGTTGATTATCTATCTATCGATCGATCATTAGACTATCTATCTTAGTGAGATACACATCTATCTATCTTAGTTGATTTTGATTTCAATCCATCGATCTAATACACATATCTAGCTTAGTGTAGCTAGCTTAGCTATCTAGATAGATAGATAGATTATCTAGATCGATCGATCGATAGATATTTTATTACTATTTATCACCCCATTCATGCCAAGAGCCTTAAAAGTAGAGGGTTGATTATCTATCTATCGTATGAGCGATCTACGAGATTATCTATCTAATCTTAGTTAAAGAGTTTATGTAGGAAAGATTATCAACGGTTTATCCTAGACTTGAAGAGGGGTCTATCTTAGGATTGATTATCTAGTGATTAGGGTTGAAAAACTATCAAATCAGGACTATCTACCACAAAGCAGCTATCTATCTTAGTGAATAATCTATCTTAGTCTGAATTGAATCTTTATCGATTTCGACTAATGGAATACTATCTATCTTAGGAATGGGTGGATGATTCATCCTTGTGTAGGGTTGATTATGGCGAGCCGATCTAGTTGAAAAGGTATCTATCTTAGTGGTATGAAGGAATCTGCTGTGTCAGAACAACTGCCATGTAAAAAGCTGATAGAATATCGAGATTTTTTTAAATGTTTCGTCTAAACATAGAAAGTTTAAATACTGTAGACTGAAAAATAATCCATCAACCAGCAAGGAAATGCGTAGACACCCTTGGGTCTTTTTCGATTCTAGACAGACAAATGATTTCTCACAGTTCCAACCTGCGTATATGGCGACGATATTTCATTTTTGTGTTAGATGTGTTTTCTCACCGGAGTTATTTAACCAATACAGTGAGACGATTCTAAGAGAATTAGAAGTCCTACCAGGATTTATCATTATGGTCACAATCATCTTACACCACCGATAAAACGCAGATTGTGTGTGTGTGTGTGTGTGTGTGTGTGTGTGTGTGTGTGTGTGTGTGTGTGTGTGTACGTTTATATATTGGATCGGATTTCCTAATTTTTCAACCGATTTCAACAAAACTTCAAGTAGGACTAGGTAAAATTACCTTGAGGTGGTTCTAACAGCGCCAAAAATGTTTGAAAACACAATTGTTTTTGACGAAATCAATTTGAAAACACGATTAAGAGGCATCACGAGAATATATTCCAGGGGACAACTTTATATTGAGTTATACTTATTATAAAATGGAATACAGGTCATTGTGTTCATGTATGTGTGTTCGTTTATATATGGGATCGGATTTCCTACATTTTCAACCGAACTAAAAGAAATAGCATAGAATTTTGGCAGGTAGTGTTTCGTCTGTCTTGCAGACTTTTTTTATTTTTACATTCAGAATGCTTTAAAAATTCCATTTTACAAGACAAATTGTTTATAATAAAATTCTATTCAATCGGTAGATTCATTTTTGTATTAAAAAAACAATGTTTTTGTTTGAGTTTTCTTTGACCATTCTAAAAAAAAAAAAAGACTAATTAAGACATGCGTGTCCGTCTTACCTTAAACAATAATCTTTGTCAATTTTATTTTTTCAGTCTTTATGATGGTCGATATTTGATCTATCTCTTACTGTTACATCCCCGGATAACGCCGGGATCTACTGCTAGTAGCAAGATATGTAGATGAGTGTTGATAGTAGATACAGAGAGGAAACTACAATAACACCCACAGAAAGTAGTGAAGAAACGTGAGAAGAAAGGATTAATCATCATTTGCAAGAACTCAGTATGTATGTTTGTTAGCAAAAGGAACAGCCCGAAATGCGAGTTTCAAATTGGAAATACCAAAATAAAAACAAGCACAAAAGATATCTGGGAACTATTATAACAGATGATGGAAAGTGGGACATGGAATTTGAAATAGCAAAATATACCTTCCAAAATCTAAGCAAAGTAATAAATAACAGAAAAAGTTCGTTAGAAACAAAGAAAAGAGTACTGAATTGTTATCTAATATCAGTCTTCCTTTATGGTAGTTAATGGGGGACAATCTCCTCATAGATGAAGAAGTGACTTGAAGTGACAGAAATGTGGTTCTACAGAAGGATGCTGAGAATACCATGAACTGAACTTATGAGCAACGACGAAGTTTTAGAGAAAATGGAAACAAAAAGCGCATTCATAATTAACATCAGGAAGAAAAAGGTAAAATTTTTAGGGCAGCTAATGAGGAAAGAGGGTTTAAAAAATTCGGTACCCACGGGGCAGAATGAAGAAAACAGGAACAGCGGAAAACAACGCGCAACCTACCTTGCGAGCTTGTTTAAAGGGATGAAAGAACAGGGTTTAGGAGTGATAACAAAAAAAAACAATATACAGAGCTATTCGATAAAAGTGACTCGCCTGATTTTTTTTACTAAAAATATTTTTTGTCTATTGTTTTGGGGGTTAAAATAATTTTTAATCTTACTAATATAAAGACCTCTTCCCGACCACCTAGGAAAAAAGTTTATTCACCCTAAGGTATTCTATTGATAATTATAAATTTGGATATAAATGAGATTCAATGAAAAAACTCTGTGCAAAAAAAAAGTGACTCAGATATTGCATTCTAAAGATTAAACTGGTAAATTTAAAGAGCTTTTGACAAAATATTGAAAACTATTTTACAATACACTCGGAACAATATTCTAGAGAATTCTAGAACTGCTTAAATTAAATCTAGAGTATTCCAGAACATTCCAGAAAGCCTCATACAGTATAATAACAGCTTGAAATAGCTACTCAAGTCACTAACCAGATGAAAGGGTACAAACACGCATCAGAACCACTTAAGGCATCTATTATTGCCCTCTCAGAAGCAGGCAAGTCTACGAGAGAAATTGCAGAAATTGCTATAACCTCGCAATCAACTGTCTCTCGAGTGTTTAGGGCACATAATGGTGCCACTCCTGCTCCAAGGAAGGAAGCAAGGGGACGAAAGAAAAAGATTGATGATAGAACTGGCAGGGTAATCAAGAGAGAAGTTGCGAAGAATAAGACTATAACTAGCCAAGAAATTGCAGCCAGTCTAAGCGAAGAGCAGAAGGTGTTAGTCTTGCCTCTTCAACTGTCCGTCAGAACAAGGTTACAAATCTTGTTAGAACAAGGCTACAAATCTTGTACACGAAGGTTTAAGCCGATAATAAGCAAAGCCAGCAAAGCCAAGAGCCTTGAAAGGGCTCACTATTGCAAAAATTTCACCGTAGAAGACTGGAAGAATGTTCTCTTCTCCGATGAAAAGAAACTTGAGCTAAATTCAAAGGATAAGGTGAGTCACATTTATCGAACAGCACTGTATATTAAGAACTAAAAAGAACAGATGATCGCCAACGTCATGCAAGGATATGATATATATATATATATATATATATATATATATATATATATATATATATATATGAAACTGAAGATACCATATGAATTTCAGCTTACAATACAATTTTATTAGAAATATTTACAATAACTTATTTGGGCGTGTAAGATTTTATAATGCAACTTGAGCGTTTCTGTCATCCTATTAATTTCTATGCTAAGTCTACTAAGTAGGTCATCATGGTGAACATTAATAATGGCACAGGTAAAAACATCATAGGTAAAAAATGTCACCGGTAAAATGGCACAAGTGAAAAAATAGGAAAAATGGCACAATTAAAATACATAATAAATTCTATGCAAAATCTACACAGAAGGAAGGAAAAACCTTGATTAATATTACGTAGATTTGATCATAATATGTCTAAATCTAGTTGATTTCATTATAATTGTTTTCATTAAATCTTAAACGTATAAATTTTTATTAACAAATGAAAGTAAAACAATTCTACTTTTTACTATTATTAAAAAATAATTAAATAAATAAAAGTTTATATATGATATATATATTTTTACTAAATTAGATTTCATTCAAAACCAACCTTTTTGCCAATAGCGTATATTTCAATAAACTTATTTTTCCTCTGTCTATATTTCTGAGATGAGGTGTTGTAACTATTTATTTTCACTGTTCGGACTGTTTCCCTCATCTTTATTGTCATATTCACGACGTTTCGGTCGTAGTACGCTTCGGCCTTCTTCAGGTAATATACGTTGGAATTTCGAACCGAAATATAGTCCACCGGGGTAGATTGATCCCAGGTGGATAAAAGTGTTGGCTGAAGTAATCCAGTGTCTAGACCCAAAGAGTTGTGAGTTCAATACCTGGCCACAGCAGAGGTGAACAAAAACTTGGAGAGTTGAGTTTCCAAAGGGAAATAACTGAATCTGAGATATACAAAAAAGGCATAGCACGTGGAACTAGAAAAATTTACCCCGGTAGACGAAATAAAGGGTTCGATTCGA